GTTAGCGTCTTAATTTGGGTTTCCTCAGAAGCAGACCCTGAGAAACACCCACAGGGGGTAGAAAGTGATACAGGGAAAGGAAAGCAGTCCATAGTGTGTTATCAACCCAGCTACTACTGTTGGTGACTAGAGCTTAATCCGTGGGGAATCATATAGATTACAGACCTTAGAGTGACCTTGCTCAAGAGGTGAAAAGAGCTGGGGTACTTATACATAAACTCCAATCATTTTTTGGTTAAGAGCCACCCTCCTCCTCTTCCAGCCTATCATGCAAAGGGTAGAAAGCTTTCCAGGGTCTCTGATAATGCCCATAGACAAAGAGATATTGGCAGTTATAAATCATCAGCTGGAACACACAAAAATGACAAGGCTGAGAAATAGAGGACATGACAGATGGCATTAGCTACATGTATTTGAATCACATGAAAATATTACCCCTTGTCTATTGGGGAGGTTAGCTTAGGCAGACTAAATAAAGGAGACATGGGCTAGAATACTGATAGAAGTTTGAAATTTGATGGAAACTTAAGGATCTCAGGAGTTAATAAGAACACCTGGAGAGAAAGCAATGTGGACACAGCATTATTGTGGGCCTTGAAACTGGCCCAGGAATCTGAACTAGCTGAATTGGCTACTGTACCATAAAGGAGGAACAATAGATCACAGTGGGGAATAATTGCATTTTATTTTGGTGACAGTTGTTTCACCAGTTGGGTATAGGCTTTTCAGACCAAACACCCAGCAACTAAGATAGCTGTAAAGTTTATAGTTCAATAATTTCTTTTAACTGGAAAGTCTCACACAATGGATCAAATTTGGGGCATATTTCATGGGAATCTGACAAGTATCCAGCTTTTCTATATAGCATAACCATTCATAGGCCAGGGAGCCAGGGAACAAGAAGAAACTGTACAACAAAGACCTAGATATAAATGCCTATGATGAAAATGAAAGATTTCTGAGCTCACTACCTTCTTTTGATTCTAAGGAAATTAGGGTCTGATTAGCCAATGAATTATCAAAGACAGGTGATTTATCAGGGCCTCTGTGGGAGCCCAAGGGTTTTTGGAAAACCTATTCACCTCTTGTCTTCTATATAGGCATTGAGTGAAGGAAATCATTTAGGGTCCCTGTTTTCTACTCACTTCCCTCCTTGCACATTCTCCAAACAAGGAATCAGGTTAAGTAAGATTCTAATAGAATCAAGTGGACCATTTTTGCTTGTGGGCTCATTATGAATTTATAAGATTGTATTCATGGATACAGCACTTTCTTCTGCTTCCTTTAACCTCTAAGCAGCCAACATAATAAACTGACTATCCTACTTTTTCTCCCCAACATGGCTTCCAGGTCTAGGGCTACTATCCCATCAGTCTAAACCTCTTGTTTGAAATGGAGTTCTTTGTTGGAACTTTTAAATTCTCTATGACATCTTAATTTCTCTGTAGAAACTTGACAGTAAGAGAGATTTCCTATAAAGACTTGGGCCATTTGATATCCCATCATTGTATTATTTGGACCATGCTGTCATCTGGTGTTCATTGTATAGTCCTACTTGGTAGGCTATGTTCAACAAAGATACTGTACATAATCTAAGGTGAGGAATACAATAGGTGTGGTGTTTAACATCCTGAATAAAATGCTTTCACAAGTTTCTGATAATGACATCAGAGGCATTCACTGAACACCTTAGATAGCTGAATTTCACATCTCTTTGGCCCAAGAAAGGCTCATAAGAGCCATGATACAGATTAGTCATAACATTTTGTGTTACCAGAGAAACAATAAGAAGTACATTATTAAATTTCCATGAAAGAAGTTCAAAGATACTAATTGTACCTGTTCCCATCCTCCATTTTCATTCTGTCTTAAGAAAAGAAATGCTAAAAGGAACCCTTATTTACTGCTGATGGGGATGTAAATTGGTATAGCCACTATGGAAAACAGTATGAATGTTCCTCAAAAATTAAGAATAGAGCTACCACATGACCCAGCAATCCTTCTTGGTATTTATCCAAAAAATTGGAAAACATTTGTTTGCAAAGAACATGCACTCCTATTTCATTGTAGCATTATACGTGGTAGCTAACACATGGAAACAACCTAAGTGTCCTTTGATGGATGATTGGGTAAAGAAGATGTGATACACACACACACACACACACACACACACACACACACACACACACTGGAATACTATTCAGTCATAAGAAAAGATGAAATACTGTCATCTGCAACAGCATGGATGGAGCTTGAGATGTCATGCTAAAGGAAATAAGTAGGTGAAAAAAGACAGAAACCATACTACATCACTCCTATGTGGGATGTTAAAAAGGAAGCAACAAACGAACAAATTCATAGATACAGACAACAGAAGGGTGGTTACCAGAGGAGAAGGAGGTGGGGGAAGGATGAAGAGGGTGAAGGGGATCAAGTATATAGTGATGGAAGGAGAGTAGATTTTCTGTGGTGAGCACACAATGCAACATACAGATGTTGTCATTACAAAGTTGTACACCTGAAACTTATATAATCTTATTAACCAATGTTACAACAAATTTAATAAAATTTTTAAAAACAAAATTTTAAAAAGACAAAAACCTCAAGAAAAAGAAATGCTGAACTGACTAATCAGAATCCAGGACCTTCACTGGGCTGTTTTTTAATGCACAGAACTTGGGGGTAACAATAAGACCTTCTCAGGTTATCATTTTCTCCTGCTCAGGTGAAACTTTTAATCTCATTAGAGTGAAAAATTCCAAAATTTTATTTTGAGTTTAAGAGCTCTAGATTAAAGTCAGAGCCACACCACCAGCTCCTTAAGTATTATTTTGCTTACCTTTACCTCCTTTGTGGGCCTCACAGAAAGAGCAGTTAAGCCAAGTAAGTATTTGGGTCTCTCTGGGTTCCTTGATATATCATCCTAATCACATCTCTTACTAGTACCCCAATTACACCCCAACCTCCAAAAAAGTAAAAGAGTCTCACTTCTAATAGTGGATACAGTAAAAGGTATCCAATCCAGGGCATGTCAGTAAGAAATAAGAAATCTGAGCAATGAATAAAACCTTGGAAAATCTAGCAGATAATGGGCTGTCACTCTAGAAGTATTCTTGTTTCAGAACCTCTATGAGAAGACTGAGGATGTGAAAGATGCTGGCTTGCACTCCTACCCAAGATTTGTACCTGCTCCCACCCTCCATCTTCATTCCACCTTAAGAAAAGAAATGCTAAAGGGAACCCTCATTCACTGCTGGGGGGAATGTAAATTAGTACAGCCACTATGGAAAATAGTATGGATGTTCCTCAAAAAATTGAGAAGAGAGCTATCACATGACCTAGCAATCCCTCTTCTGTGTATCTATCGAAAACATTTGTTTGCAAAAATATGCACCCCTATGTACATTGCAGCATTGTTTCAGAATCTCTGTGAGAAGATTGAGGACACTAAACAGAATTTGATAGGAAATGCAAAAGATCTTAATGGGGGAGGGAGTAATTCTTTATTGGTCCAAACCTTGTTTTGATAACTAACACCACTGTCCCGTATTCCCAGATTTTCTTATTTGTTGTGTGTTTCACATTAGATTCTGGTCCATTTTTACCTGTTTCCTTATAAACTAACCTTGACTTTGATTAACTGCACACTAGCAGTTTCATGTGACAGACCCAAGTTCTTTCCTGAACAGAGAGCCCCAATAGCAGAGGAAATAATGTAAAGCATTCTAATTTGTCCCCCTATATTTGCCAGCCCACTTGCACATACATGGGACCACATGACTAGGTCTGGACAATGAAATATAAGTGGATGTGACATGTGTCACTTCTGGCTGAGTCAATAAAGTTCCTACATGAAATTATCCAGCATCTCTTTTTCTCCTACAGCATCAGTTGAACAAGCTACATGTCCCGATGGTGCAGCTACAAAACAGTGGAGTGACTGTGTGGAGCAGATCCCCTCCCATTCTCACATCCCTGTCCCCAGCAATGGGACTGTGATATGAGCAAGAAATAAACTCTTGGTGTGTAAAACTTCTGACACTTTGAGTTTGTTATCTGAACATAATTGTATTCCTATAGAAGACAGCCCCCTTCTCCTGCATGCATAGGGCTTATTTCACACTCTTAACTTAGTCGTTAATAAATCTGCATGTTAAACCCATAATCCTCTGAACTGGCTCTACTGGACATAAAATCGCACACAAGTCAGCAAGCAAAGCTTTAACTTTCAACCAAATACATAGTAGTGAGCAATACAATTCAGTAAGCACAAATATTTTGTACTGCACAAAAAAACAGGAAATAATTAAATTTCGTATAGACATTTCTTTATTATATTTTCCCACTTGAATATTTAGAGAATAATTTAAATGTGATTCATACTGACAGCAAGCACAGTATCAAATATTAGCTTTTTAATATTTTTCTGTTCTCACCCTTGATTCCTTTAGGAAAAAATATTTAGATGACCTCAAAGAAACACTTATTATGCTAATCACAGTATGCAGTAATACAACAATCCCATACTCAATAGAAAATAAAGCAACAAAGAAGTGAAAAAGTC